AAAGTCATCCTCACCCCAATCTATGCACCCTCACCCTTACACTACTCCCTGTACATCTAAATGGTAACCAAAAACTCCCACAACCAAAGTCCCTATTTAGTTCCAGGACTGGGTGCAGTCCCACCAGTGCCACCTGTCCAGGTGGTTTCAAGAGCGGGAACCCTGACACATAAAATTCTGCCCTCTCAGTCACTTATTTTCTTCTGGTCTTATCAGTGAACCAAATTGGTTAATGGTACTTGGAATACCATGGTTAGACTCATCTTGCAGCTACTGTGAGAAGTTCTGAACACTTCCATCTTAGGAAGGATATAATGGTCTTGGGGAGAGCAAAGTTTAAAGCTTCTGAAGAAGGGTCACTGGACTCAAAGTGTTCACTCTGCTTTCTGTCTACGGATGCTGCCAGACTTCTGAGTTCTTCCAGCAATTTCCGTTTGTGTTTCTGATTACCAGCATCTACAGTTCTTCAGGGGTTTTTTTAAGTTTAAAGCTTGTCCACTCTCTGTAAAGCACAAGTCAGGAGTATATTAGAATACTCCGACTTGCCTGGATATGATTACAACATTTAAAAGACATCTGGATGGGTATATGAATAAGACGGGTTGAGAAGGATATAGGCCAAAGGCTGGCAAAAGGGACTAGATTTATTAGGATATATAGTCAACATGAACAAGTTGGGCCAAGGGGCCGATTCCATGCTGTATATCTCTATGACCCTATGAGTGTAGCTCCAACAACATTCAAGAAAGTCAACACCATCCAGGACAACGCAGCCCACTTGACTGGCACCACATCCTTCAGCTTTAACATCCACTCCCTGTGCCACCGATGCTCAGTAGTAGCAGTATGTTCCATCTGCAAAATGCCCTGCAACCAGGTGACAAGGTCCCTAAGAAAGCACCTTCCAAAACCACAACCACTACCATTTAGAAGGACAAGGGCTACAGAACGACACACCTTGAAAGAATGAAAGGATGCATTTTAAAAATCCACTCAATATTTTAGGCTGATAGATGAGAAACAGCCAATAGGTTAATTAGCAATTTTAAGGCTATCATTGTATGGGAAACTGTATCAAAAAAGGAGAAAGAGCATAAGACAACCTGGGAGAAAAATAGGGTGATGACTTGAGGTGAATTCATACGTAACCTGTGATTCTCTGCTTTGCTTCCTTCTCCAGTTTGTGTGCAACACTCAGGATTTGCAGAGCTGTGTGGCTAAAGAGTACAACACAACTCCAAACAATGTCAATGCCTGTCACGTTGCCAATTCCTTTGCCAACCACACTCTAGACCTAGAGACAGGACTCTGCGGGGGACATCAACCCAACTGTAACTTCCCTGAGGTACTTTACTTCTTGATACAGAGCTCATTCAATGTTTCTGCATAGAGGGAAGCCATTCAGCCTAGCGCCTCTGTGTCAACACTCTGAAAACCTATCCAGTCAGTTCCACATTTCTCCAGTCTTTCCCGATAAAAATGTTTCCACTGTATTAGTGTCCAATATATTAGTTTGAAGTTTAATATTGAGCCCGCTTCTTGCAGGCAGTGCATTCCAGATTATAATAACTTGCTGCATAAAACCATTTACCTCCTGGATCTTTTGCCAGTTACTTCAAATCTCTTCTAGTTACAACTTTCCTACCTGTAAAGATACTTTCTCCGTATTTACTGTATTTTGAACACACATGATCTTCTCTTGAAAGAACATCCCAGCTTCACTAGTGTCTTCACATATTAATCCCAACACTGGTATCAATCTGGTAATCTTCCTCTGCACCCTCTCCAAGGCCTTCACATCCTTCCTGAAGTGTGGAATCTGGTATGGGACATTATACACCAGCTGAGGCTGACCTTCATTTTGATGTTAAACTGATGAGGGGAGCAGCTGACTAGATCTAGCAAAGGTCTCATGGAAGTTAAGCTTACAGCTATTTTCTAATCAACCTGTTCAGAGATGTTATGACACATCACTCAAGCAGATGGGACGTGAAACTGGGCCTCTGGTTCAGAGATAGGGACATTATCACTAAGCCACAAAAGACCCTGAATTAAATTTATACAGTGGCAGTTGTTAGGGAGGCTAATGGGGAGCAAACTCAGAGGGAAATCATATCAATCAACATGAGTTACCACTCACATTTAAATGATTCAATAAGATAAATAGAGAGAAACTATTTCCTCTACAGGTGAAACCCAGAACATAATAGAGTGAAGCCATTCAGAATGGAAATTGAGGCATCTCCACTCAAGAAGTTCAACAACGTTCAGGGCTAAGCAGGCCCCTTGATTGGTACCATATCCATCAGCTTCCACATTCACTCCCTACACTGCTGATGCTCGGTAGCAGCAGTATATACCATCTACAACAGCGGCACGGTGACTCACAGCGCCAGGCACATGGGTTCAAATCCAGCCTTCGGTGACTGCCTGTGTGGAGTTTGCACATTCTCCCCACGTCTGCGTGGGTTTCCTCTGGGTGTTCTGGTTTCCTCCCACAGTCCAAAAATGTGCAGATTAGATGGACTAGCCATGGGGAAATGTGGGGTTATAGGCTAGGGGGGTGGACTTGTGTGGGATGCTCTTCAGAGGGGTGGTGTGGACCCGATGGGCCAAATGGCCTGCTGCCACACTGTAGGGATCCTATGATACAAGATGCGCTGCAGAAATTCACTAAGACTTTTTCAACAACACCTTCCAAAAACACAATCAGTACCATCCAGAAGGACAAGGGCAACAGATGCAAGGGGACATCACCACCTGCAAGTTCCTCTCCAGATCACGCCATCTGATTTGGGACTGTATCACTGTTCCTTCACTATCACTGCATCACAGTCATGAAACCATCTCCCTAACAGCATTGTGGATGTCTGTATTCCCCAAACCCGGCAGCAGTTCAAGCAGGCGGCTCGTCACAACTTTCTCTGACATACTTAGGAATGGGTAGGAGAAACATCCTGTCGGCATTTACCCTGTCAAGCCCCTTAAGAACCCTATATGTTTCAATGAGATCACTCTCACTCTTCTAAACTCCAGTAATTAAAGTCGCAAACTGTATAGCCTTCGCTCATAAGACAATCCCTCTTTAGGGAATCATCCTAATGAACCTTCTCTGAACAGCAATTATATCTTTCCTTAAATAAGGAATTAAATGATAACAGTGTCTCTTACCCAGTGTTAATGCAATTAACCAGTCTTCAGCTATTTTTTAACCTGTTATCTTGCTATTATGTAATAATCTACTTCTTGTCACTGCCTTTTCTGCTGATGGCTTGTTAATGGTTAATCCTGTACCATCTGCTACTAGTAAGCTCCATAACCTAGTGTCACAAGATGTGTTGTTGGCAACGGATCTGCCCAAAGAAGAACCTTTCACAACCAGGTATCAGCTGCGGCCATCTCATACTAACATTGGAAGTGCTGGGGTGGAGAAGTTATATGAGTAAGAATGATTCCCTTTGTTCAAGAAGGTCTATTCTAATTAAGGTCAGAAATCACATGACACCAGGTTATAGTCCCGACAGGTTTATTTGAAAACACAAGCTAATTAAGCCCATTTTGTCTCCTTTCCTTTGGACAGTACTTCACATATTGTGTGCTGCTGAGTTTGCTGGCCTGTGCTGTATTCCTACAGATCAGCAGTATTGGAAAGCTAGTTCTCATGCTGATCATCGAACTGGTTTACATTGTAATGATGGAGCTGCCCAGCGTCACCCTTTTTGACAATGCAGACCTATTGGTCACTGCCAACAGTCTGTAAGTAGCCATTTACAAACACTCCTTTATTTTGCTATTCTAGTATATTTATGATGCCAAGATAAAATGATGTTTAAAAGAAAGCTGATGGCTTGCTACATACAGTCATACAAGCAAGGAGAAAGTAGTAAACCTTTATGAATCACTGGTTAGGCTTTAGCAAGGTGTCCAATTTTAAGTGTCTGACTGTACTAACTTGGGAACAGAAGGAAAGCATTCAGCCCCCCAAGCCTGTTCCATTCAATCAGGAATAAAAACAGAATGCTACAGACACTAGAGATTTGAAATAAAAATAGAAAATGCTGGAGAAACTCAGCAGGTCTGGCAACATCTGTGAAGAGAGAAACAGTCAATGTTTCAAGTATGCTGTGACTCTTCTTCTTCAGAACAGTCATATCAGACTCGAATGTGACCGTAGGTATCCCCACACCCAAGGACTGCAGTGGTTCAAGGAGGAAGCTCACCACCATCTTCTCAAGGACAAAAGGGACAGGCAATAAATGCTGCTTGACACCTGCATCCTGTGTTCCAAGTCAGGATGGCGAGTGCCTTTGAGGAGGACTTGCAGTTGGTGGTGCTCCAAAATATCTGCGCCCTTGTCCTTCTAGGTGGTAGAGATGTTGGGTTTGGAAGGTGCTGTTGAAGGAATCTTAGTGAGTTGCTGCAGTGCATCATGTAGGTGGTACACACTGCTACTACTGAGTTTTGGTGGTGGAGTGACTTATGGCAGAGTATTTGGGATGCCAATCCAGCAGGCACCTTTGTCCTGCATGTTCTTGAGCTTCTTGAGTGCTTTTGGGACCCCACTCATCCAGGCTGTTTATCATATGTTTCCTTGATTAACTTCAGAGTCCATCTTCCCCTCCCCACAACCAAAGGTTTTACAAAATAGTGAGAAAATATGACTAAGGTATGGATAAGGAGTGAGTCAGCATGTCAACAAATATGTTGCAATAATAATATTAAAGTAGCTGGAGGATCAGAGAGTAATTGCAAATCCATTGGTTTTATTTTTAACTCCGGAGAGATAGGTGGTTTCTTATATTCTCAAAGAAAATTGCAAACTTAACGTGCAAGCAACAAACACTGAAAATACAGAGGTGTCAGCATTACGAATAAGTGAAAACAGTTTAATTTGGCAGGTGTCAATACTTTCTGTTGACACATACCAATAAACCTTCTGTGTATGGCCAGCATTTTTTGTAGCTTCCTTACAGTTTTCTCACTAAGTGGGTGGATTCTTCCCAGACTGAGTCATCTTCTCCACATACTTGTTAAAATCAAGGCCTGTTCTGCTCTCTAATAGATGTCAAGGCCTCTGAAACTATCAGGTAAAGAGCAGACACTTGTTAAAGCATCCTCACCAGCAGTCCTATCTGACCCAAACAGTGCCTGATAAACAGTTTGTGACAAGTGCAACCCATTCACATCCAAAAGATCGAAAGTCAAGCATACCTCTGAAAACACTTTGTCCATTAGCAATGCCTCTAGTTCAATACAATGAGATTTCAAAGACAGGTAGAAACTTCAGAAATAAAATGGCTCAGAATCCTGGAAGTCCCTTCCTAACAGCATTGTGGCTGTGCCTACATTCCATGGACTGCAGCAGTTCAAGGCAGCAGCTCAGTATCACCTTCTAAAGGGCATTAAATAGTGGGTAATAAATGTTGCCCATACACCAGAAACAAATTTTAAAAAAGACAGGTTGCATTAATACAATGTCTTTCACACTCACAGGACAACTTTTACAGCCAAGGAAATACTTTTATGAAACACAGTTACTCTTGCAAAGAATGAAATGGCTGCATAAAATTTGAACATATAGTAAGCTCTCGCAGACAGCAATGAAATTAATGATCACATCATCAATTTTACTGATTGATGCTGAGGAATAAATATTGGTCAAGGTACCAACTCCTGTGATCATGCCTTGTACCACTGCAACTTGTATCTGTTATATTTCTTCTATAGACTCAAGTCTTTATGCTTGTTCCTCCATGGATTCTATCCCCCATAGCTACATTGGGGCATTTCTTTTGGGTGTTTTTATTGTATTGTCCTACTAGACTGCTCCTTACTTTCTCAATTCATTCATGGGATATGGGCATCACTGGCTAGGCCAACATTTATCGCCAATCTGTAATTGTTAAGGTTCAACCACATTTCACATGAGTCTGGAGACACATGTAGGCCAGACAAGGTAAGGATCGCGGATTTCCCCCCGGAGAGGATTTTAGTGAACCATATGTTTTTAACAGTGGTTACATGATCACTGTTAGTCTAGCTTGTTACCTTGTACTCCAATAATATACCTTATTGAATTCAAATTTCACCATCTCCCATGTTGGAATTCAAGCCCGTGACCCGAAAACATTTGCCTAAATTTGTGTGTTACAAGTCCGTTGACAGTTATGAGGACAGAGTAAATAAGTTGGGACAGTTCTCCTTGTAGAGAAGAAGGCTAAGAGGAGATCTGATACAGCTTTTCAAAATCATGAGTGAGCTGGATCGAGTAGTGTTCCCCTCATAAAAGGAACAAGAAAAAGTAGGCATAGATTTAAAGAGATCTGCAAATGAAACAAGGGTGAAGTGAGGGAAAACTTTTTATAAAAGATGGTAGTTAGGATATGGAATGCTCTGCCTGGAAGTGTGGTGGAGGCAGGTTCAGTTGAGGCATTCAAGAGAGCATTGAATTGTTATTTGGATAAAAATAATGTGCAAGAGTATGGGCATAAATTTAGGAGATTGGCACTAGCATCCCAAGCTTGTCCTTAACTTAGGGTGCATTTCTCACCCTCAGCTGGCCGTATAATCTTCATTTACACAATGGTATTTGTCATGGAATCATAGAACCCTACAGTGTGGAAGCAGGCCATTCAGCCCATCTAGTCTGCACTGACTCTCCAAAGACCATCCAACCTAGACCCACCCTCCTACCCTATCCCCGTAACTATACATTCGCCGTGGCTAATCCACTTAACCCACATATCCCTGAACACTATGAGTGATTTAACATGGCCAATCCACCTAACCTGCACATCTTTGAGTCTCAATCGCAAGTTTCTGTCTGCAGTGTTGATGTCAGGGTAATATCATCAGTTACATCATTTTCATTAGCATACTCATTTCCTGTTATACTACAAAGAACTCTTCCTTTTCTGCAATGGTCATTTGGTATTTGGTCATTTTAACATTTCATTCGGGAAGTGACAAATGTAACAATGCAGCACTCCCTCACTAATGCACTGGCAGTGTCAGAGTAAGTTTTCTGTTCATGTTCACGAGTTGGAAACTTGAACCCACCACCCCATCAGTCAGAATCAGTGTTTGTTTCAGTCGAGCTCCAAGTGGGGTCTGCCCAAGGAGGTATGAAAGAGAATCATCACTTCCTCACTTTTGCACTCCAGTTCCATTGAAATAATGATCAACATTCAAATCCCATTCTAGGTTTTGAGCACAAAAATCAGGGTTGACACTTCTAGTGCACTTCAGTTAAAGAGAGAACACTGCACTGTCTGAGGTGCTGCCTTTCAGGTGAAGCTTCAAGCTACATACTCGGAAATGTACTTAGGAAATACTTAGGAAATGTAAAAGATCCAAAATCAATATTTTGAAGCACAGAGGAGCTGTTTCAGATTTGTTGACTAATATTTATGCCTTAATCAATATCGCAACAAAAACATCCCGTCATTATTACATTGCTGTTTTGTGGGAGTCATCTATGTGCAAATTGGTAACTGTGTTTCCCACATTACAAAAGTGGCTGCACTTCTAAAAGTATTTCATTGGCTATAAAACACTTTAAAATGTCCATTGGTCATGTCTTTCTTTTAGAATTAGAATTAGCATTAGGTTTATTGTCACATGTACTTGCATAAGTACAGTGAAAATTTTACAGAAGTGTCACTTATGATGTCATCTAACGCACAAAGCTACATAGATACAGATTCTTAGGAATTTTTTTACTAATTAGTTTTGTGCTAATTTTAGTGATATGTGGACATGGTCCATGAAAATTACTTTCCACCTTTACAGCTTCTTGTTTCTCATCACTAAGAAAATATTTTGATTTGACATCCATTCAGTGTTGCAAAGTTACATTACGAAAGCTGTGTAGTAAATGGTTAAAGTTTACCTCAATAACATCTCTTAAGCTCTGTGCTGTGGCATCTCCCAGTATCTCTGGCTCATAAGTAGAAGCTTGATGATGCTGCCCTTCTCTTTAAATTCAGCATTTTAAATATTTTACGAGAGATTTTTAATGTTGGATCTGATTATAATCAAAAAGGGCAGGGCAGATTATGGTTCTGTTTTCCTTAAATGACTATGAGCTATGGTCATTCAGTCAGTGCTATTCCAAGTAGTGCATTTGTCCGAACTCAAATATTTAATTTGCACATTTTACTGAAATCCCCATTGACATTTGAACATGAACACATGTGTTTTTCAATTGATTTTACATCCTACTTTTGCTTGCAGGGTATCATGAAGCTGCAAAATGACTATTTGATGCAGTGAAATATTAATGCAACAGAAAGGAGTGAGAAAACTGTGGCTGATTAATGAGCAGAATCATAATGGGTCTCTGGATTGAAATGTAAATGTGAAATTTGTCGATCTGAATTGACCTCATAATTCATACAGTTGTCAAGGGACAGAATGGTACAATTATTTGTGTCTGTACCTGTGCTTTGGGGTGTTTCTTCAGACTTGCTGATGAACTAGCTTGTGAACAGATACTTACGAGCAGAGATCCTTCGCTCCCTCTCTTCCCCAACCCCCCTCCCAAATCCACCATAGCTACATTGGGGCATTCTGTTCCACCCATGGCTTTATGAGGAACATAAACACAGGAATATTCTGGAACTCCCCAGCAGGAGGCAGGTCAGCCCTCAATGAGGAAAATCAGTTGGGATTTTTTAAGCTGAGTAAAAAGGGTACCCTCAAAGAATAACACAGGGTTTTATGATTTTCCTTTGAGCAATAGAGGCCATCTGTTTTTTTTCAAAATACAAAGGCTTGCATTTGTATTTCATTGACACACAATTAATGAAAAGGTTTTAAAGTGTAGTCACCGTTTTAATGTAGAAAACACAGTAACTAATGATTTGGTGAGGTGGTGGCATTGTGGCTATGTAACTGGGCTAGTAATCAAGAGGTTTTACTGTAATGCTGGACCTGAGTTCAAATCCTACCTGAGCAGTTCACAGAATCCCTACAGTTTGGAAAGAGGCCATGAATATACATCAACCCTCCGAAGAGCATCCCACCCAGACCTCTACCCTATCTTCACATTTCCAATGGCTGATCCAACTAGCCGATATACCCCTGAACACTACAGACAATTTAGCGTGGCCAATCCAACAATCCTGCACATCTTTGGACTGTTGGAGAAAAGCCAAACACCTAGCAGACGTGGAAAGAGCATGCAAACTCCATACAGACAGATGCCCGAGGCTGGAATTGAACCCAGTTCCCCGGCACTATGGAACAAAAACAGAAGTTGCTAGAAAAGCTCAACAAGTCTGGCAGCATCGGTGAAGAAAAAATCAAGAGTTAAAGTTTCGGGTCCTGTGACCCTTCCTCATATTGCCCCGGCACTATGGGGCAATTGTGCTAACCACGGAATCATCATGCCACCTGGTAGATTATTTAAGTTGTTGCTTATGTTAGTGTTATTTAAATTCAATTATTAAATCAGGAATACAAAACCAGTCTCAGTGATGGTAACAACTGTCTTTGATAATTATATTGTTCACTAATGCTGCTTTGAAAATGAACTCTGCCGTCCTTACCTAGTCTGGCCTCCATGTGACTCCAGACCTACAGCAATGTGGTCTTAACTGTCCTCTGATCTGCCCAGTAAGCCACTCAGCTCAAGGACAACACACGTCTGGCAGCAAAGATGTTCACATCTCTTGAAAGAGAAAATTTCAAGAAACAGATCTCTGACTCACAGGTAGATCTTCTTAGTGCTCCAAATGATTTCTTTATCATTTTTTTTTCCTTTATTCATTCACGAGATGAAGGTGTCACTGGCTAGGCAGCATTTATTGCCCATCCCTAATTGCCCAGAGAGCATTTAAGACTCAGCCACATTGCAAAGGATGGCAGTTTCCTTTCTGAAAGAACATTAGTGAACCAGATGGGTTTTTCCATCAAACAATGGCTTTATGGCCATCATTAGACTCTTAATTCCTGATATTTATTGAATTCAAACTCCACCATCTGCCATGGCAGAGATTTGAACACAGGTCCCCAGAACGTTACCACTAGGCCATCGCCTCCCACTATGTGATGTAATTATAAAACTATTCTTTACAAACATACTTACAATTTAGTGGAAAATTTCCAACCTGACCCACCAGAATACTTCGATTAATTTGGGAGTAATTCTTAATGTTTTTTAGTAAATAATTGCTGACTGATTCTTTTTCTCTCCAGTAGTCCCATTAATGGAACATGGACTTGGTGAGTATTCTCCTAAGAATGATGCATTGATTATAAAGTAATTCTTCCTTTAAACCTGAGCCATTTAACATGGTTTTTCTTTGTTAATGAGGCCTGTAATTTTATTGAGCATCGTTTTAAAACCAGTCACTGCATGCAAAAAAAACTTTTCACTGTACCTAGGTACATGTGACCATAATAAATCAAATCAAAAAAGTTCATGGACAACTCAATCGGTTTCTACTGAGCCTCTGAGTTGTGGTCTCTCCCCCCACATCACTGACAGACCCATATGTATTTCACCCTCTTGGACTTGCCTTCTTGCTCATGATCCAGTTTCAATCCAAAGCTGGAGCTCCGTGTTATGTAAGTTTGAGACTGGATAGTTCAGAATGCTAGATCTTGTACAATCCATGTGGTTTTTAGATGACTTTCAAGCCTGCTCCTGCTTTGCTGCCCTTCTACTAAGCCCTCACTCACAATCACAGGCCAGTGGCCCTGCGGTACCTCTTGGAGTAGTGGCCATTGCTGGTATTGCATTGAATGCCAAGCAAAGGATAGGAGTGTCAGGGAAGTGAAGTGGAATGGAGGGTTGGCTGGACCAAGGGTGGTGAGATCGCAATGACAAGGGGTGGGGAGGTGAGTCATTAATAAGAGTAGGAGTCTGGTTTTCCATTGGGTCCCCACTTCTCGATATTGGGTCCCTCAATCAGGCACAGAATACCCAAAGATGAGGGACCCCTCTACATCACCAGCCTCATCCCAGAAGATTGTAGACAAATGAGCCTGGTTTGAGTTTTTTAGATGACATGTCCTGCCCAATGCTGGAGATTTTTGCTGGAGTCAGGACAAGGCCCTTTAGTTGCCCTTAAGGGCTTCAATTAGCCCCAGGTGGGAAGGCTATTTGAAAGCTTTCCCACACTGCACTTGATTGGAGGTAGGCGTTTAGGCAGCTAATCTGCACCCACATCCTCTGATCAACCACAGAACCCTCCCATCTCTGGGAGAAAGGCTGTGCGTATCAAATTCAAGCCATCATTTCATTTGGAATCCAAGTTTCAAACCCAGAATGAAAATCAATTGGGTACAGCTTCTTCTTGCACAGGGTCTGAAAGGGTTACACGAGCATGGTTTTACGGTTGAAGTTTGCTCATTTATGTCAGCAGCAAGATTTATTTCCTCACTTCACCACTTTGAAGTCAATAGTTATTTATTTCTTCAATTTCCTGGTATGATCTAATGATAAATGAAATTAATTTTTTACAGTGCATGCAAAAAAAATCAATACAAGTGAAAATTAAAGGTCAGCACCTTTAAAGCACTTGGTATTTGTTCTCTGGTGTTGGGGAAATCATTGGATTACATTGAAATGACAGCACAGAAACAGAATATAAATGTAAAGCTGGAATGTTGTGTTTTATTTGTCCTGACCTTCTTCTGCAGCTTCGGTGATCTGTTTGAATCTAGTCCTTGAAAATACTCCTTCTAATCCAAGCATTAGTAGAATTGTAATTTATTTTCAGGACCAAAAGAGAGAAAGGAAATATCATACTGACAAAGTCACCAAAACTCTCACATGTGGGACCCAGCAGTACAGAAATGCCGATTCTACTTGTGACATTTCCTGTTCCTGTATATTATGGTGGAGACATACTGAGAAATTAGGGGAACCAGTCTCTGAAGGATTCAGGACTGAAGCTATCATTAGGCTCTTGTATTCACTGGAAATCCAATAACCTAATGCTGCATTATTGCAGCAGAGGTTAGACTGGATGCTTACAATGTACATCCATTCTCTATGAAAGCAGACAGTATCATCAGGCTGAGACAATAAACAAAAATATATTTATGTTTTATATCATACAGAGAAAAACGTAAAACAATATTAAAATAATGTGACTTATGCAATCGTTTAAATTGTCTAAAAACGTTAATATACAAAGTTTGAAGAATCATTTAACTCAGACATGGAGCCAATGTGACTTGGAGAGTGGAGATGCGAGGAAAGAGCTTTAGAAACAAATTGAAGCTTGATTGTTAAGCACTGAACTCCAGTAAGTTTTGCAGCTCTTAACTTGCTCATGTGTGACCCAATCACTTTTTTTCTGGCTGTAGTGTGAGAACTCAGCAAAGAAAATCCTTTGGTTATGGCTGTTAGCTTGAATTATTTCCTTCCTTGTGACAGCTCCTTGAAGTTCTCGAAGGTAGCCTTGAAGATCATGACTCCTATTGTAATCACGGTGTTTGTTCTGGCACTGTATCTCCACGCTCAGCAGGTAGAATCAACTGCCAGGTTGGACTTCCTCTGGAAACTGCAGGTAGGAAGTCAGCCACAACCTTTATTCTGGTGCCAAGTTTCCCTTGATGCCAAGTCATGTCTGTAACTCCCTCCTGTAACTCCTGTCGTTGACCAACAGGTTGAAAAGCCTCTTGTCAATATGAAATGATTTCTCACCTTTTGAACTGGTGCTTGATGAGCTATTCACATCAGCAAGTTTCCCAATCTGCGTAGGTGTTAGTTGATCTCATTCAGCAATATGACGGATAAAATTAGCTTCAGTGCCATTCAACTACACATGGGTTGGGGGAAAGTGGGGGAATTTTTTGCCAGTGACTCCAATTTGAAAACAACGAAAGACATCCTTAGTCAGTTCAACAATGATACAATGTCCAAATGTGATCCACATAATGATGATTTAGGGCCATACGTTGACAAGTGAGAGAGGAATAAGAGGACCACATTAGTTCTTTACAAATGTTTCTAAAGATTTGTGGGGTGTGGTTGATAAGAGGCAGAGTGTACAATCAAAAGGAAATGGAACAACTGAAATAAAGAAATTAACTTTGTAGTGTGTTGGAAGTGGCTCTGCATTTATCTCAATGAATCAGAAGGTTGTGGGCTCAAGTCCTACTCTGGAGTTTCGAACATGTAATTATTCATGACATTCCAGTGCAACAGTGAAGAGGTGTTAGAATATTGTCTTTGTTATGATCTCTGCCGTATGAACTGGTAATGCTTGATAAGAAATTTGAACTTCTGGTTAAAAACTAAATGAATGGCACATCAAGATTTAAAACCTTTACTGTAATAAATGACTACAATGACTATTAGCATAGCACTATTTTCTTTTTGTAGGCAACTTACACAATAACCTACAGGGAGGACCATTTCCTGTTTATACGTATCACATATTGCCCTCCCCTCTCCATGCAATTACACTCATTCTGGCAAATAGTCCACAGCTGATCCCAGCTTCCAATGGGTTTTGTATCTCCACTTCACCAAGGATTAATTTAAAGTGACCATTTGCAGACGTGTTCCTCAGTTTTCAGAGTTTCTTAAATCTACCATCAACTGCCGTATTCCCATGACCGTCCTTATCCAAAGTCATACCCAATATAATACCTTTTTGGGACTTTAATAAACTAGGAGTCTGCTCATCACAAAATGAGGAGCTGCTGCCATGGTCTCCAGGTGTAATGGTCTTGCACCTGCTTCTCAGTGAAACAATGAAAGCATTCCTTTGATCTACAACAATCAAACCTTTTCTGATGAAGGGTCTAGGCCCGAAACGTCAGCCTCTCTGCTCCTGTGATGCTGCTTGGCCTGCTGTGTTCGTCCAGCCCTGCACCTTGTTGTCTCGGATTCTCCAGCATCTGCAGTTCCTACTATCTCTGTCAGGCAGATTTCTTAACAGGTCATGTGACCCCATATATCAACCCTAATTTTAAAGCAATGGCCTCAAAATATAATAAAACCATGAGACACAGGGAGCATTAGTAGGCTTTTCAGCCCATCGATTCTACTCCACCATTCAATAAGATCATGACCGATCTGATAATGTCTTCCACTTTCTGCCATTTCCCAATAATCCTTGACTCCCTTACTGATTAAAAATCTCACTGTCTCAACCTTGGATATTCTTAATGGCCCAGCCTTTTACACTCCTTCTGATCTTCCCTGGCCTGAACTCCTCTTTCATGCCAGCTCCTCAGAGTCCTCAACTCCTCAAAATTAAAATCTATCAACTTCCTCTTAATTGATCCTGCCTCCACAGTCCTCTGGGTTAGAGAATACCAGACACTCACTACCCTCTGGGAGAAGAAATTCCTTAAAATCTAACAAGAAATCATTATCTCCTTATTCTGTAACTTATGTCCATGAGTTTGAATTCCCCCATGAGTGAAAACATCTTCTCAACATCTACCTGTCAAGCCCCTGCAGAATCCTGTATACAAGGGTTGAAGGTGTTTTCTTGTTAATGTTGTGCATTTCACGTTTGAAAACATTTGCAATATAATTTTGAAAAATGTTATTTTCATGTATGTACCAGCTATGAAATGGGTACAAAACACTAACCATAACATTTTCTATTGGCTGCAGGCGGGAATCAACAACTGGTATATATAGAAATGTGTTTTGTGTCAGGGCTGTGTTGTCATTATTGTGGCTAGTGATAGGTTTAGGATAAGGTCTAGGGTTAAAGTTATGATGAGGTCTATGGTTAAGGTTAATGCAGGGGTGGGAAAAGGGCTGGGGTTATTGTTGCAACTAGGGTTCAGTCTGAACCTGAGTTACTTTTGGGGTTTTGGGCTAGGGTTAGGCCTATGGTTAATGCAAGGATTAGTATTCGGTTTAGGTTTTGGGTTAGTGTTGGGTAGCATCATTCTGAAGGCTCAGGCTATATTTAGGATGTGAGCTAGGATTTCTGTAAGGTCTAGCTACAGCCATGAATGCAGTTAAGGTTAGAGCTGGGGATTATTTTTGCTGTTTTTACTTGGTCTTTGATTAGGGTTAGGGATCATCTCTGTGAATGCATTAGGATTATGTTTTGGGTTTTTCTCTTTGACCTTTCTACTGGCTGAGCCTCCAGAAAGCATGATAAACTTGGAAGGGTTCAGAAAAGATTTAAAAGGATGTCGCCAGGCCTGGAGGGTTTGATATATAGGGAGAGGCTGAATGGATGGGAGACTATTTTCCCTGGAGCATCAGAGGCAGAAGGATGACCTTATAGAGGTTTATAAAATCATGAGCGGCATGGATAGGGTGAATAGCCAAGGTCTTTTTCCCAGGGTATAGGAGTCCAAAACTAGAGGGCGTAGGTTTAAGGTGAGAGGGGAAAGATTTAAAAGGGAGCTAAGAGGTAACCTTTTCACACAGAGGGTGGTGCGTCTCTGGAATGAGCTGCCAGAGGAAGTGTTGGAGGCTGGACAGTTACAACATTTGAAAGGCATCTGGATGGGTACATGAATAGGAAGGGTTTAGAGGGATATGGGATAATACTGGGACTAGATTAATTCAGGATATCTGGTCAGCATGGACGAGTTGGACCGAAGGCTCTGTTTCTAAGCTGTACAACTCTATGGCTCTATAAAAGGGAAACCTAGATTTTCCCACTGTCTGTATTTTCTCATGTGTGCTTCTGCCAGCATTTGCTAACATTACTTAGAAGGTCCTGATCTTGAGTTCAAAATTCTAGTGCCCAAAGTGTTTGGTATTCATTGACTGGTTGCATTAAATGAAACATTACTGTGTTGAATGGGTCTGTACAGCACTGATAAGTAGTAATGTTAAAGTTGGACTCAAAACAAGGATAATAGTGCCTCCAAGTGGTTCAGAACAGATAGTGTACTTATTCAAAGGATTTTCTGTGAAGAAAAATGTCTTCAGTTGCAAATTCAGGGAGCTTTCTACAAGTCAGCAAGGAATTTTTGAAGAAACTAAAACTAAAAACAGAATATTCTTCAATTTCATGGCAGAAGTGTCAGTGTTCTACCAAGCGAACCTTTTACAGTGTCTAGACTCCCATAATGAAACTTGAAAACCGAGAGTTAAGGATGTTACTCATGGGATTGAATAAAATGAAGACAGGTGTATTAGTCTTCTTTTGTTTCTTTTTTAAGGATTTGAATAACCAACATATCCTTGAGTCATTAGCTAATACATATGACTGTTATTCATTGTCTTAAAATGCATAGTATTGCCATGTGATTTTTATATATTTTATTATCATTCATTTTGGAGCTTGGAGTTTGAATTAGTAGCATTTGGTTTACTCTGTGTGAATGGGGGCAATTAGTGATAATTTGTCACTATTTCTGGAGACTTTCTAAAATAAACAAAATGAGAAAGTTTCTGAAGTGCTAATGGCAATTTGTTTGCACAGGGAGAATTTTACTAGCGGACAGAGTAAACAGCATTAGCCTGCTTTCAGTTAGAAAAAGAAGGATTTATTTTCTTTCTTGTTTCTAGAAAATGCCCGAAGCATGGAAAGCTTTTGATTTCAGTTGCTGACATCCTGGTTGAAGTTAGATGTAACAACACAGTTTTCCTGGATCAAGGAGTTAGTTCAGAAAAGTTAGAAATAAGCTACCTCAGTGTGATGGTTTAGTTTAAAAGTTCTACACCAGAAGTGTTTAGTTAGAACCGTAAGCTTAGTTGTGTGAATGCTTAAAGAAATGGCTATCAAACTTTCAAGACTGGGAATTGAAAGCAACAGTTAGTCAAATCTATAAATGTGATAATGAGGGAATTGTCTCTAGTGTTTGAATACTGTGAAGGGATGTTGTTGGGGTAGATTGAACATTTTATTTTTATTGTGTGTTTCAAAATCTTACAAATTGTGATTTTTGTAAATGGTGTGGTTTGTTCTATTTTAAGTTCTTAAACTTCAATTTTATTATTAAAAACCAAATGTGCAGCAATATGTGCTTGTGTTTCAGAGAAAGACCACCTTGTTAAATAAATGATTTATTATACCTGAGAGATGTGGTCAGATATTGCACAGTAGATGTGTTCTGGCACGTTGTATATAGATGCAAGTCTGAATTTTGATGAAAGTAAGTGTTGGAGATTGTCAATACAATAATGACTCTTTGTGTTTCCTGGCCCAGGCTACTGAAGAGAAAGAAGAAATGGAGGAACTTCAGGCCTACAACAGACGCCTTCTGCACAACATCCTGCCAAAAGATGTTGCAGCGCATTTCCTTGCACGCGAGAGGCGTAATGATGAGCTGTATTACCAGTCCTGTGAATGTGTTGCTGTTATGTTCGCCTCCATCAGCAACTTCTCTGAGTTTTACGTTGAGTTGGAGGCAAACAACGAAGGAGTCGAATGCCTCCGACTTTTAAATGAGATCATCGCGGACTTTGATGAGGTAAGTGTTGCTGGTGGTGCTGACCTTGGCTGAGTGGACACAGGACTTGTAGCCAATGTATTAGCAATTCTCCAGTCCTCTGGGACCTCACCCGTGCTCAAGAATGCTGCAAAGATACCTGTTAAGGCCCCAGCTATTTCCTCTCTCGCTTCCCTCATTAACCTGGGATAGATCCCATCCGGACCTGTGGACTTGTCCACCCTAATGCCTTTTAGAATACCCAACACTTCCCCCCTCCTTATGCCGACTTGACCTAGAGCAATCAAACATCTATCCCTAACCTCAACATTCGACATGTCCCTCTCCTCGGTGAATACCGACGCAAAGTACTCATTAAGAATCTCACTCATTTTCTCTGACTCCTCGCATAACTTCCCTCCTTTGTCCGTGAGTGGCCAACCCTTTCGCTCCTTATGTACGAATAAAAGGCTTTGGATTTTCCTTAACCCTGTTTGCTAAAGATATTTCATGACCCCTTTTAGCCCTCTTAATTCCTCATTTCAGATTGGTCCTACTTTGCCAATATTCTTACAAAGCTTCGTCTGTTTTCAGTTGCCTAGACCTTATGTATGCTTCCTTTTTCCTCTTTGCTAGTCTCACAATTTCACCTGTCATCCATGGTTCCCTAATCTTGCCCTTTCTATCCCTCATTTTCACAGGGACATGTCTGTCCTGCACTCTAATCAACCTCTCTTTAAAAGCCTCCCACATATCAAGTGTGGATTTACCCTCAAACAGCTGCTCCCAATCCACATTCCCCAGCTCCTGTCAAATCTTGCTATAGTTGGCCTTCCCCCAATTTAGCACTCTTCCTTTAGGACCGCTCTCGTCTTTGTCCATGAGTATTCTAAAACTTACGGAATTGTGATCGCTACTCCCAAAGTAAACCCCTACTGAAACTTCAACCACCTGGCCGGGCTCATTCCCCAACACCAGGTCCGGTATGGCCCCTTCCCAAGTAGGACTATTTACATACTGCTCTAGAAAACCCTCTTGGATGCTCCTTACAAATTCTGCTCCATCTAAACCCCTAACACTAAGTGAATCCCAGTCAATGTTGGGAAAATTAAAATCTCCCATCGCCACCACCCTGTTGCTCCTACACCTTTCCATAATCTGTCTACATATTTGTACCTGTATCTCCCGCTTGCTGTTGGGAGGCCTGTAGTACAGCCCCAACATTGTTACCGCAGCCTTTCTATTTCTGAGCCCTGCCCATATTGCCTCACTGCTCAAGTTCTCCATAGTGCCCTCCTTCAGCACAGCTGTGATATCCTCTTTGACCAGTAATGCAACTCCTCCACCCCTTTTACCTCCCTCTCTATCCCGCCTGAAGCATCTATATCCTGGGATATTTAGTTGCCAATCTTGCCCTTCCCTCAACCAAGTCTCAGTCATAGCGATAACATCATACTCCCAGGTACTAATCCAAGCCCTAAGTTCATCTGCCTTAGCTACTACACTTCTCGCATTAAAGCAAATGCATCTCAGACCACCTGTCCCTTTGCGTTCATCATCTGCTCTCTGCCTACTCTTCCCCTCAGTCACACTGACTGCATTATCTAGTTCCTTACAGGCTTTAGTTACTACCTCCTTACTGCCCACTAACCTCCTCATTTGGTTCCCATCCCCCTGCCACATTAGTTTAAACCCTCCCCAACAGTGTTAGCAAAAGCACCCCCTAGGACATTGGTTCCAGTCCTGCCCAGGTGTAGACCATCCGATTTGTAATAGTCCCACCTCCCCCACAACCGGTCCCAATGTCCCAAAAATCTGAACCCCTCCCTCCTGCACCATCTCTCAAGCCACTCATTTATCCTGCCTATTCTTTCATTTCTACTCTGACTAGCACGTGGCACTGGTAGCAGTCCTGAGATTACTACCTCTGAGGTCCTACTTTGTAACTTGGCTCCTAACTCCCTAAATTCTGCTTGTAGGACCTCATCCCATTTTTTACCTATATCATTGGTGCCTATATACACCACGACAGCTGGCTGTTCACCCTCCCCCTTCAGAATGTCGTACAGTCGATCTGAGACATTCCTGACCCATCCACCTGGGAGGCAACATACCATTCGGGAGCCTCGTTTTCGACCACAGAACCACCTATTTACTCCCGTTACAATCGAATCCCCTGGGACTATAGCCCTTTCACTCTTTTTCCCGCCCTTCTGTACAGCAGAGCCAGCCACGGTGCCATGAACCTGGCTACTGCTGCCTTCCCCTGGTGAACCATCTCCCCCAACAGTATCCAAAATGGTATATCTGTTTTGGAGGGAAATGACCGCAGGGGACACCTGCACTGCCTTCCTGCTTTTTCTCTGCCTTTTGGTCACCCATTCCCTTTCTCCCTCAGCAATCCTAATCTGTGGTGTGACCGATTTGCTAAACGTGCTATCCACGACTTATTCAGCATCGCGGATGCTCCAAAGTGAGTCCATCCGCAGCTCCAGAGCCGGCATGCGGTCTAACAAGAGCTGCAGCTGGACACACTTTCTGCACATGTAGGAGTCAGGGACATCAGCCGCGTCCCTGAGCTCCCACATTGAGCAAGAGAAGCATAACATGGGTCTGGCATCTCCTGCCATTTTTACTCTTAAGCTTAACTTAATCCTACTATAATATCAAATAATAGATAAATAAAATGAAAAATTTATTACCAATCACTCTACTTACCAGCACACGATAAAAAAAAGAAAAAAGAAAAACCTTATCTTCTCAACACACCACAGAGTCTTTTTTTTGGTTAGAGGAGGAGGATGAGTGGGGGACACTACACATGTAGTGTCTCAGGTTTACCCACTGCCCAAATATATCAGTTCACTCACCGTCCCAGAGCGCAATTCAACCGCTCCCACTCAGCTCCGCTGCCGAAAAGAAGGACTTACCGTCCCGGCAGCCTCCTGGTCCTTGCCATCACCGCTGCCGCTGTGAAAATGGAGGCTGCTGATTCCACGCGGTAAGTATTTAAAGTGAAGGACTTACCGTCCCGGCAGCCCCCTGGTCCTCGCCATCACCGCTCCCACTGCTGCTGCAAAAATTATGCAGTAAATGGAAAAGCCCTGGGGAAAATTGATGCACAGAGAGATCTGGGTTTTCAGGTCCATTGTACCCTGAAGGTGGCAACGCAGGTCGGTAGAGTGGTTAAGAAGGCATACGGCATGCTTTCATTCATCGAACGGGGCATTGAATACAAGAGTTGGCAGGTCATGTTACAGTTGTATAGGACTTTGGTTCGACCACATTTGGAATACTGCGTACAGTTCTGGTCGCCACATTACCAAAAGGATGTGGGGTCCAACCTCATCGTTCCCCAACCCCGCACCGCCCGCTTCTATCTCCTTCCCAAGATCCATAAACCTGACTGCCCTGGTCGACCCATTGTCTCCGCCTGCTCTTGCCCCACCGAACTTATCTCCACCTATCTCGACTCCATTTTCTCCCCATTAGTCCAGGAACTCCCTACTTAAGTCCGTGACACCACCCACGCCCTCCACCTCCTCCAGAACTTCCAATTCCCCGGTCCCCAACACCTCATCTTTACCATGGACGTCCAGTCCCAATACACCTGCATTCTCCATACAGATGGCCTGAAGGCCCTCCGCTTCTTCCTGTCCCGCAGGCCGGACCAGTCCCCCTCCACTGACACCCTCATCCGCTTAGCCGAACTCGTCTTCACCCTCAACAACGTCTCTTTCAATTCCTACCACTTCCTACAGACAAAGGGGGTGGCCATGGGTACCCGCATGTGCCCAAGCTATGCCTGCCTCTTTGTCGGTTACGTGGAACAATCCCTCTTTCTATCTACCCTGGCCCTAAACCCCACCTCATCCTCCGTTACATTGATGACCGTATCGGCGCCGCCTCGTGCTCCCACGAGGAGCTCGAACAGTTCATCCACTTCACCAACACCTTCCACCCCAACCTTAAGTTCACCTGGACCATCTCTAATACTTCTCTCTGTCCTTCCTGGACCTCTCTGTCTCCATTTCCAGCAACCACCTAGAAACTGATATCCATTTCAAGCCCACCGACTCCCACAGCTATCCAGAATACACCTCCTCCCACCCACCTTCCTGCAAAAATGCCATCCCCTATTCCCAATTCCTTCGCCTCCGCCGCATCTGCTCCCAGGATGAGGCATTTCACTGCCGTATATCTCAGATGTCCTCGTTTTTCAAGGACCGCAACTTCCAGCCCTCAGTGTTCGAGAACGCCCTCGACCGTGTCTCCCGCATTTCCGGCAACTCATCCCTCACACCACCTCCCTGCAATAACAACCAAAACAGAATCCCCCTCGTCCTCACGTACCACCCCACCAACCTCCGGAACCAACGCATCATCCTCCGACACTTCCGCCATCTGCAATCCGACCCCACCACCAAAGACATTTTTCCCTCCCCACCCTTATCTGCTTTCCGGAGGGACCACTCTCTCCGTGACTCCCTTGTCCGCTCCACACTCCCCTCCAGCCCCACTTCACCCGGCACTTTTCCCTGCAAACGCAGGAAGTGCTACACCTGCCCCTACACCTCCCTCCTCACCCCCATCCCAGGCCCCAAGAAGACTTTCCACATCAAACAGATATCCACCTGCACATCTGCTAATGTGGTATACTGCATCCGCTGTTCCCGTTGTGGCCTCCTCTACATCGGGGATACCAAGCGGAGGCTTGGGGACCACTTTGCAGAACACCTATGCTCGGTTCGCAATAAACAACTGCACCTCCCAGTCGCGAACCATTTCAACTTCCCCTCCCATTCCTCAGATGACATGTCCGTCCTGGGCCTCCTGCAGTGCCACAATGATGCTACCTGAAGGTTGCAGGAACAGCAACTCATATTCCGCTTGGGAACCCTGCAGCCCACTGGTATCAATGTGGACTTCACAAGGTTCAAAATCTCCCCTCCCCCTACCGCATCCCAAAACCAGCCCAGCTCATCCCCGCCTCCCTAACCTGTCCTTCTTCCCACCTATCCCTCCTCCCACCTCAAGCCCCACCCCCATCTACTACCTACTAACCTCATCCCACCCCCTTGACCTGTCCGTCCTCTCTGGACTGACCTATCTCCTCCCTAACTCCCCACCTACACTCACCTTTACTGGCTCCGTCCCTGCCTTTTTGACCTGTCTGTCTCCTCTCCACCTATCTTCTCCTCTATCCACCTTCTATCCGCCTCCCCCTCTCTCCCTATTTATTTCAGAATCCCCTTCCCCTCCCCCATTTCTGAAGAAGGGTCTCGGCCCGAAACGTCAGCCTTCCTGCTCCTCTGATGCTGCTTGGCCTGCTATGTTCTTCCAGCTCTACACCTTGTTGTACCAAAAGGATGTGGATGCTTTGGAGAGGGTGCAGAGGAGGTTCACCAGGATGTTGCCTGATATGGAGGGCACTAGCTATGAAGAGAGGTTGAGTAGATTAGGATTATTTACATTAGAAAGACGGAGGTTGAGGGGGGACCTGATTGAGGTCTACAAAATCATGAGAGGCATAGACAGGATGGATAGCAAGAAGCTTTTTCCCAGAGTGGGGGACTCAATTACTAGGGGTCACGCTTTCAAGGTGAGAGGGGAAAAGTTTAAGGATATGCATGGAAAGTTCTTTACGCAGAGGGTGGTGGGTGCCTGGAGCGCGTTGCCAGCGGAGGTGGTAGAGGCGGGCACGATAGCGTCATTTAAGACAGATACATGAATGGGCAGGGAGCAGAGGGATGCAGATCCTTGGAAAATAGGTGACAGGTTTAGATAGAGGATCTGGATCGGTGCAGGCTTGGAGGGCTGAAGGGCCTGTTCCTGTGCTGTAATTTTCTTTGTTCTTTATTTCTTTATATTCCCTCATGGGAATAGAGCATCGCTAACAAGACATTCATTTGTCACGTATCAGTAATTGCCTTTGAATTTAACAGCTTGCCAGACCATTTCAGAGTCAACCAAATTGCTGTGGGTCTGGAAATACGTTGGGCTAGACCGGCTAAGGACGACAGATTTCCTTTCATAAAGGACCTTAGTGAACCTGATGGATTTTTATGACAATTAATGACAGCATCAATTCCAGTCTTATATTCACTGAATTTAAATTCAATCAGTTTTTATTTTGGGGCTTAAACCAATGTCCTCAGACAATTGGCCTGGGCCTCTGGAGTACAGGTGTATTTACATTACTATTGATACAGTGTCCACTGCACTGTTGTTACAGAGAAAGGATGAGGTCCAGGATTTGGACCCAGCAGGAGTGTTTCAGTTATACGGGGTACTAGTAAACCACATCTGAGTACTGTGCAGTGTCAGTCACCTTTTTTAAGGAACAATGTAAATGTGTTGGAAGTAGTTCAGAGGAGGTTTCCAGACTAATACCTGGAATGGGCTGGCTAGAAAGAAAGGTTGAACAGGCCAGACAAGTATCCACTGGACTTTAACAGAGTATGAGGTGTTTTAATTGAAACATATAAAATCCTAAGGAGGTCTTGATAGTGGGTATGTGGAAGAAGAATCTGGGAGAATCTATAACTCGGGATTCACTGTTTAAAAAAAAGGGTGTATGCATTTAAAATGCATTTTTATTTCATAGAGTCATGAGTCTTTGGAATTCGCATCCTCAAAAGCCTTTGAATATTTTTAAGGCAGATTCTTGTAAGTAAGGGGTGGAACGTTATCAAGCCAGGCAGGATTGCGGATTTGAGGTACAATTCGATCAACCATGACATTATTAAGTGGTGAAGCAGTTTCAAGGGGCTGAATAATCTACTCCTGCTCCTTGTTTTGTACACTTTCAAGTCAGGATGATGTTTGTTTGGAGGGGAACTTGCAGATGGGTAGATTTCCCAGGTAACTGCTTTCCTTGTCCTCCCCCAACTGGATATTGTTTGGTTCATTGCAGATCATCAGTGAAGAACAATTCCAACAGCTGGAGAAGATTAAAACTATAGGGAGCACATATATGGCAGCATCGGGTCTGAATGATTCCACTTATGACAAATCTGGGAAGACACACATCAAGGCACTGGCAGACTACGCCATGAGGCTGATGGACCAGATGAAGTACATCAATGAGCACTCATTCAATAACTTCCAGATGAAAATAGGTAATCTTAGTCATTTTAGAGAATGATGCCAAAATGCTCCAACAGAATTACTAGAATGGTGTTAGGGATAAGATACTTCAGTTCTGTGAGGACACTGGAGAAACTGGGGATTATTCCTTTTAAAGTAATAGGATATTTTCTAATCAACCTGTTCAGAGATGTTACTACATACCTCTGGAGGAGGTGGGACTTGAATCCAGGCCCTCTGGCTCAGAGATAGGTACACTACACTGCACCTCAAGTGCTCTTCTTGAAGTAGCAAAGGCTAAGAGGGTAAATTAATCAAGGTGTTCAAAACCAGGAAGGCATTTAAAGAATGTTTCAAGAAGCAGTAACTAGATTTACCATGATTGAAAAATAAACAAAGGTTACATGAGAAAGCATTTTATTTTCAATGTGGTGAGTTGCAGGTGAGTGAAACTAATTGACCAGCCCAAAGAAAGAGATGGCATTAGAATGACAGGCCGAATGGCTTCCTCCCGTGCTGTGCTCCCCTATGATCCAGAGTTGCCATCCAGTCAGTACATGGGTTCAATTCTTGCAAAGAAGTTGTTACA